TCTCGCCACCGACGACGTCGGGCATTTGAGCTGTGTGTGCGTTCGTTTTCGAAAGCACAGCTCGCGCGCGAGGTTGCGGTTGGTGTCTGGTCTCCGCGGCATTGATTCATCGTGAGGAGCTCAAGCAAGCAAGCAAGCACAGCGAAGAGCGAAGAGCGAAGATGGTGGTGGTTAAGATCGGCATCAATGGGTTCGGCCGCATCGGACGGTTGGTCCTGAGGGCTGCCCTCAACCATCCTAAGGTGCAGGTGGTGGCTGTGAACGACCCCTTCCTCGATCCGGAGTACATCGTCTATCTCTTCAAGTACGACACCGTGCACGGCAAGTACAAGGGAGAGGTAGGTCTGTCCGCCGACAAGAAGCTGGTCGTGGATGGCAAGGAGATCGCCATCTTCGCTCTGAGGGATCCTTCCGCGATTCCGTGGGGAGAGGCAGGTGCGGAGTACGTGGTCGAGTCCACCGGTGTGTTCACGGACAAGGACAAGGCGGCTGCTCATCTGAAAGGGGGCGCGAAGAAGGTGGTGATCTCTGCTCCCTCTGCCAACGCGCCGATGTTCGTGATGGGCGTGAACGAGGAGAAGTATACGTCGGATCTGGACGTGATCTCGAACGCCAGCTGCACGACCAACTGCTTGGCGCCTCTCGCCAAGGTCATCAACGACAACTTCGGCATCGTCGAGGGACTGATGACCACCGTCCACGCCGTAACGGCTACGCAGAAGACCGTGGATGGGCCATCTGGCAAGGATTGGAGGGGGGGCCGTGGGGCGGGATTCAACATCATTCCGAGCGGAACGGGCGCCGCCAAAGCTGTGGGCAAAGTGCTTCCTGTGCTTAACGGCAAGCTCACGGGCATGGCTTTCCGTATCCCGACAGCTGATGTGTCTGTGGTCGATCTGACGGTGAGATTGGAGAAGACGGCCAGCTACGACGAAATCAAGGCTGTAATCAAGAAGGCCTCGGAGACAGATCTCAAGGGCATCTTGGGCTACACGGACGACGACGTGGTGTCGTCGGACTTCATCGGCGATGCTCGGTCGAGCATCTTCGACGCCAAGGCGGGTATTGCCCTGAACGGGAACTTCGTGAAACTGGTCTCCTGGTACGACAACGAGTGGGGTTACTCCAACCGCGTGGTGGAGTTGATTGAGCATATCTCCACGTCTTAGAT